AAGACATATGAAATATGAGGACTAATTGTGTGCAAATTTTTTAAATTTTTTTTGTCTTCCATAATCTCCTTTAGTGCAGAATATGCAACAGAATTTGATGAAATAAAAAAAATGATTTAGAAAAAAATAGAAAATATATTTTTTCTTAAGTTGACAATTTTTCACTTAAAAAAAAAACTACTAGAAGAGACATATGAAATATGAGGACTAATTGTGTGCAAATTTTTGAAAGCTTTTTGTCTTCCATAATCTCCTTTAGTGCAGAATATGCAACAGAATTTGATGAAATAAAAAAAAGTGATTTAGAAAAAAAATAGAAGAAAATTTTTTTTTCAGTTGACAATTTTTCACTTAAAAAAAAAAAAAACTACTAGAAGAGACATGAAATATGAGGACTAATTGTGTGCATTTTTTTTGAAAACTTTTTGTCTTCCATCAACTCCTTTAGTGCAGAATATGCAACAGAATTTGATTAAATAAGAAAAAATATTTCTTCTATTTTTTCTAAATCACTTTTTTTATTTCATCGAATTCTGTTGCATTTTCTGCACTAAAGGAGATTATAGAAGACAAAATGATTTTAAAAATTTGCATATTTCATGTCTCTTCTAGTAGTTTTTTTTAAGTGAGAAATTGTCAACTTAAAAAAAGTGATTTAGATAAGATAGAAGAAATATTTTTTCTTAAGTTGATAATTTTTCACTTAAAAAAAAAAAGAGACACATGAAATATGAGGACTAATTGTGTGCAAATTTTTGAAAACTTTTTGTCTTCCATCATCTCCTTTAGTGCAGAATATGCAACAGAATTTGATGAAATTAAAAAAAGTGATTTAGAAAAAAATGAAATATTTTTTAAGTTGACAATTTTTCACTTAAAAAAAAAAAAAAAAAAACAAAAAAAAAAACCTCCAAAATTTTTGTGGAATCGAATAACTGCCAAAAATGGCTTTATCCAATGGAGAATATGGAAGATCAGAAATGAAATGAAGACAATAGGTTCGAATTGAAATTTGACTGCTGGTTGTCTTGGTCACATCACAGTCGGCAGCCCCCCCCCCCACCCAAAAAAACTACTAGAAGAGACATATGAAATATGAGGACTAATTGTGTGCAAATTTTTGAAAACTTTTTGTCTTCCATCATCTCCTCTAGTGCAGAATATGCAACAGAATTTGATGAAATAAGAAAAAATATTTCTTCTATTTTTTCTAAATCACTTTTTTTAAATTGACAATTTTTCACTTAAAAAAAAAAAAAAAACTACTAGAAGAGACAAATGAAATATGAGGACTAATTGTTTTCAAATTTTTGAAAACTTTTTGTCTTCCATCATCTCCTTTAGTGCAGAATATGCAACAGAATTTGATTAAATTAAAAAAAAGTGATTTAGAAAAAAAAAGGAAATATTTTTTAAGTTGACAATTTTTCACTTAAAAAAAAAAAAAAAAAAAAAACCTCAAAAAAATTTTGTGGAATCGAATAAATGCCAAAAATGGCTTTATCCAATGGAGAATATGGAAGATCAGAAATGAAATGAAGGCAATAGGTTCGAATTGAAATTTGACTGCTGGTTGTCTTGGTCACATCACAGTCGGCAGCCCCCCCACAGCCAAAAAAAATAAATTGCAAAATATAAAAAAAAAAATTGTAAACCTGAAATCTCGGACTTTAAGGTACAAAAAGTGCAAATCTAAACCTTCAAACACCATCTAAAAAAAAAAAACAAAAACAAAACACGGTCTCAGTGGACACTTAAAGGCATCACTGAACGTCAGAGGGGAGCCCTTCTTCAAGACGTACCTCAACGTAAAAAATGACTCATTGGGGTGATGTACTGAAGTTGTAGAGAACGTTCGTTCTGCAAAGCGGATGTTCGACTTGCGGGATAATAGGACTCTGTGTTCATCGGCAATTCCCAATCATGCCAGGAAAAGTTTTAATTTGCTTTTTTTTTTTTTTTTTTTTCATGATCAGTTGTTTAAATTGAATAGGGACGAGAAGATCCGAGATCTCGCTTTCCAAAATTTTGGTGAAAATTACAATATTAAAGGAAAAATGTCCCAATTTTTAATGAACTACATTGAAGCCAATGAGAAAGGAGAAATTAGGATTTTTTTTTCTGTGGATTTTAAAGGTCCAATGGAGCTTAAATAGTTTCTGAGGGTCAGGGAAGAGCCTCTATTCTGGACCCATTCTCGGCCCTCGATATTGAGGAACAGAAATTCAAGCCACGTGGTTAACAAGTCAGGATCACATGACCTGGTGGTAATGTGGAGATCACATGACCTGGTGGTAATGTGGAGATCACATGACCTGGTGGTAATGTGGAGATCACATGACCTGGTGGTAATGTGGAGATCACATGACCTGGTGGTAATGTGGAGATCACCTGACCTGGTGGTAATGTGGAGATCACATGACCTGGTGGTAATGTGGAGATCACATGACCTGGTGGTAATGTGGAGATCACATGGCTTTGTTTATGAGAAAGGATTAACCCGGTGATCACATTTTATTTTTTGGGCAAATTTCACCTAAGGTGTCCATATGGTGAGGCCTGGTGAAGGCCAGTGGCCTCTAAATTGTGACCCGTGGGCCAGATGCAGCCCTTTGCTCCCTATTGTTTGGCCCTCGGGGCACTATTCCTCCCACTGATACAAGGAGTTATATTTCTCAGTGACAACAATGATGATGCACCATTTGTTCCAATGACACCAGAGATGGGGATCATTCCTCCACTGACACCAAGGATGCTGATCTATTCATCCAACTGAGACCAACGATGAGGATCTATTCCTTCCACTGACACCAACAATGAGGATCTATTCCTCTCACTGACAGCAACGATTGAGCACTATTCATCCCACTGATACCAATGATGAGCACTATTCCCCCCACTGACACCAATGATGGGGCGCTATTCCTCCCACTGCCACCAATGAAGGGGATTTATTCCTCCCACTGACACCAAGGATGGGACACTATTCCTCCCACTGACACCAATGATGGGGACACTATTCCCCCCATTGACACCAATGATGGGGCACTATTCCCCCCATTGACACCAATGATGGGGCACTATTCCTCCCATTGCCACCAATGAAGGGGATTTATTCCTCCCACTGACACCAGTGATGGGACACTATTCCCCTCATTGACGCCAATGATGGGGCACTATTCCTCCCATTGACACCAATGAAGGGGATTTATTCCTCTCACTGACACCAACAATCGTGCATTATTTCTTCTATTGAAACCAATCATGGGGCACTAGTCCTCCCACTGACAACAATGACAGGGCACTATTCCTTCCACTGACACCAAGGATAGGGCACTATTTCTCCCACTGCCACCAATGAAGGTGATGTATTTCTCCCATTGACACCAACAGTGGGCACTGTTCCTCCCACTGACACCACCAATGACGGGGTACTTGTCCTCCCACTGACACCAACGATGGGGCACAATCTTTTCCATTGACACCAACAATGAGGTACTATTCTTCCCACTGATACCAATGATGGGGCACTATTCCTCCCACTGACACCACTAATGGGGCATTATTTCTTCTATTGACACCAATGATGGGGTACTTGTCCTCTCACTGACACCAATGATGGAGTACTTGTCCTCTCACTGACACCAATGATGGGGTGCAGTTTTTTCCATTGACAACAACGATGAAGTACTATTCCTCCCACTGACACCACTAATGGGGCATCATTTCTTCTATTGACACCAATGATGGGGCACTATTCCTCCCACTGACATCAATGATGGGGCACTATTCCTCCCACTGACACCAATGACAGGGCACTATTCCTTCCACTGACACCAAGGATGGGGTACTTTTCCACCCATTGACATCAACAATGAGGCACCATTCTTCTCCCTGACACCAATGATGGGGCACTATTCCTATAAAATTGTTTCTACTCCCACTGGCCAATAATGGGGCATTATTTCTTCTATTGACACCAATGATGGGGTACTTGTCCTCTCACTGACACCAATGATGGGGTACTTGTCCTCTCATTGACACCAATGATGGGGTGCAGTTTTTTCCATTGACACCAACGATGAAGTACTATTCCTCCCACTGACACCAATGATGGAGCACTATTCCTCCCAATGACACCAATGATGGGGCACTATTCCTCCCACTGACACCAATGATGGAGCACTATTCCTCCCAATGACACCAAATGCAATGATGGAACACTATTCCTCCCACTGACACCAATGATGGAGCACTATTCCTCCCACTGACACCATAGATGGGGCACTATTCCTCCCACTGACACCAATGATGGGGTACCATTCCTCCCACTGACACCAATGACAGGGCACTATTCCTTCCACTGACACCAATGATGGGGTACTTTTCCACCCATTGACATCAACAATGAGGCACCATTCTTCTCCCTGACACCAATGATGGGGCACTATTCCTATAAATTGTTTCTACTCCCACTGGCCACCGTCTAACCCTCCAAAGTATGGAGGACAGTAAGTTGGCCCTTTGTTCATGAAGTTTGGAGACCCCTGATGAAGACTAAAATCAACAAAATTTTGGGGGAAGCAAATTTGAGATGAATTTTGGCTCCAGCCCTCCACTCGTCCTTGTAAGTCGACATTCGCAATGCAAAAGGAAAAATTCTCCACCTCTTTGGAACCCGCGCCATTGGGCGGTCCCAACCTTTCAGGAATTCGAGTACCAAACCGCGTCCTGCACTTGCTGGATGACATACTGCAGGGAAGGCGTGGCTTCTTGATACATGAGGTTGAGAACCTCGAGAAGGACGTACAGAAGAGGCACGCCCACGCTCAATAATTCGTACAGGTAAGCGTACTGCTGCTCGTGGTCCCTGACGTGGCGCTTGGCGCCTTGTACCACGCCGCGCGTCCAGTTAGATAGGCGGCCAGGGAAGGCGAGAACGTCCCTCGTCACCGCGAGAGGCCAGCTTACTGTTTTCCTAAGTAAGGAAGTCATGATACCTGGAGAGCTGTCCTCTGAGCTGCTGCCAGCGCTGTAGGGACTGTCGGTCACGATCTCCGCAGCTCTGGCTTCTTCCTTCTTCCATGTTTTATCGTCGTCCTAAAAAAAACCCAAAAAGAAGAAAAAACGGTCAGAATGGTAACAGAATTGGCCAGAAAATCTGTCACCACCCAACAAAAATATACACGCTCCATGTAATGATGGGAAGTTTAGTGCTTCCTCCTGACAGTACCAGTGTCGTCGGTTCAAACCCCAACCATGGCACCACCTGCCTGGAGTTTGCATGTTCTCCCCGTGCCTGCGTGGGTTTCCTCTGGGTGCTTCCGTTTCCTCCAACCCTCGAAAGACATGCTGGTAGGTTAATTGGTTCCTGTCTAAATTGTCCCTAGTATGTGTATGTATGAATGTGAGTTAGGGACCTTAGATTGTACACCCCTTGAGGGTCAGGGACCTTAGATTGTACGCCCCTTGAGGGTCAGGGACCTTAGATTGTACGCCCCTTGAGGGTCAGGGACCTTAGATTGTACGACCCTTGAGGGTCAGGGACCTTAGATTGTACGCCCCTTGAGGGTCAAGGACCTTAGATTGTACGACCCTTGAGGGTCAGGGACCTTAGATTGTATGACCCTTGGGGGTCAGGGACCTTAGATTGTACGACCCTTGAGGGTCAGGGACCTTAGATTGTACGCCCCTTGAGGGTCAGGGACCTTAGATTGTACGCCCCTTGAGGGTCGGGGACCTTAGATTGTACAACCCTTGAGGGTCGGGGACCTTAGATTGTACGCCCCTTGAGAGTCGGGGACCTTAGATTGTACGCCCCTTGAGAGTCAGGGACCTTAGATTGTACGCCCCTTGAGGGTCGGGGACCTTAGATTGTACGCCCCTTGAGGGTCAGGGACCTTAGATTGTACACCCCTTGAGGGTCAGGGACCTTAGATTGTACACCCCTTGAGGGTCAGGGACCTTAGATTGTACGCCCCTTGAGAGTCAGGGACCTTAGATTGTACACCCCTTGAGGGTCAGGGACCTTAGATTGTATGCCCCTTGAGGGTTGGGGACCTTAGACTGTACACCCCTTGAGGGTTAGGGACTGATGTGATGGGCAGCACAGTGGATAAATGGTTGGTACTTCTGCCTGGCAGTACTCGGGTCGCTAGTTCGAATCCCAACCACAACACCACCTGCCTGGAATTTGCATGTTCTCCCTGTGCCTGTGTGGGTTTCCTCCAGGTGCAGGCTGACAGGTCTTGTCTCCGCCCCCTCCTGTATTTTTCTGCAGGCAGCCTATAGTGGGTAGAGCCTGCTGGGTCCCTCCCAGAGTTCTACTCTCTCTCCTTGTGCAGGGTGACAGGTCTGGTCTCCGCCCCCCCCATACCTCTCTGCAGGCAGCCAGTAGTGGGTGGAGCCTGCTGGGTTCCTCCCCACAGTTCTCTCTCCTTGTGCAGGGTGACAGGTCTGGTCTCCGCCCCCTCCTGTACCTTTCTGCAGGCAGCCTGTAGTGGGTGTAGCCTGCTAGGTCCCTCCCACAGTTCCGCTCTCTACTTGTGCAGGGTGACTGGTCTTGTCTCCGCCCCCTCCTGTACCTTTCTGCAGGCAGCCTGTAGTGGGCGGAGCCTGCTGGGTCCCTCCCATAGTTCTGCTCTCTACTTGTGCAGGGTGACTGGTCTTGTCTCCGCCCCCTCCTGTACCTTTCTGCAGGCAGCCTGTAGTGGGCGGAGCCTGCTGGGTCCCTCCCATAGTTCTGCTCTCTACTTGTGCAGGGTGACTGGTCTTGTCTCCGCCCCCTCCTGTACCTTTCTGCAGGCAGCCTGTAGTGGGCGGAGCCTGCTGGGTCCCTCCCATAGTTCTGCTCTCTATCCTTGTGACAGGTGACAGGTCTGGTCTCCGCCCCTTCTACACCTTTCTGCAGGCAGCCTGTAGTGGGTGGAGCCTGCTAGGTCCCTCCCACAGTTCTGCTCTCTCCTTATGCAGGGTGTCTGCTCTGGTCTCCGCCCCCTCCTATAATTTCTGCAGGCAGCCTGCTGGCCCCTCCCACAGCTCTGCTCTCTGCACAGCGCTGATGTCACTACTCCTTTTACAAGATAATATCTGGCTTTGTAAAGGCATTTGGGGCGCATAAAGTGGATTTATATCCTTTGTAGCTATTTATACATTTATTTAAAATTTATTTTCTCTTTAAAACGCGGCCATTGACCTGATGAGAAATAAATAGCTCACAGATCAGGAAACACTGCCGGCGTAAGATCTATTCCTAGCCTAATGGACGTCAATTCTGGAAAAAAACATGCGATCGACCAAAAATAGAAAGAGCATCTTTGGCGCATCTGGGTACACAAACAAGGCGGAATATTCCAGAGAGTTATAAACAGCAACATTTGTTTCGGAAAAGCGAACCACCAGCTGCTGTGAAGGACGAAGTCCCCGGAGATTGTGTTCTCCCGGGTGCCGGACACCCGGCGTCCTCGGTGTAATCACCGCATCATTGATTGGCGACATACCGTATGCAGGGCCACTGCTAGGCTATTTTGGGCCCTAGGCAAGACCAGCTACTACTTGCCCCCCCCCCCCCCCCCAAAAAAAAAAAAAAAACAACAACTGTAATGCAAGATGGTATCAAAAAGTTTCAAGACTAGTTTTGTAACACGCACAGTCACAGGGAGCGCCGACCTTGGTAAGTCAGTGTGCCAAAAGGCATCATCCTGTGTACATCGGGAGCTGTGCAACTGGTGCTATTCTGACCACGTGTGTTGCCATGTCTGCGATTTCATCATGGACAGCAAGTTAGAGCAGAGAGCAAACATGAAATTCTGCGTGAAACCCAAACACCCAAGCTTTGTCACCGGTAATGATCCTTGAGATGGAGGACGGCCACGCCACGCTGACGGACACAGGATGGTTCGGATCTGCGGATTGAGCATAATGGATCGGAGTCTGATCCATTATGCTCCCCAATCCGCAGATCTGATCCATTCTGCGGGGATCGTCGGCATGCAACCTATACGGGGTGACACCGGACCCGCTCCACGGAAAGGTAAGTTGTAAAGAAAGCCGACGATCCCCGCAGGATGGATCGGATCTGCGGATTGAGCATAATGGATCGGAGTCTGATCCATTATGCTCCCCAATCCGCAGATCTGATCCATTCTGCGGGGATCGTCGGCATGCAACCTATACGGGGTGACACCGGACCCGCTCCACGAAAAGGTAAGTTGTAAAGAAAGCCGACGATCCCCGCAGGATGGATCGGATCTGCGGATTGAGCATAATGGATCGGAGTCTGATCCATTATGCTCCCCAATCCGCAGATCTGATCCATTCTGCGGGGATCGTCGGCATGCAACCTATACGGGGTGACGCCGGACCCGCTCCACGAGAAGGTAGGTTGTAAAGCAAGCCGACGATCCCCGCACCTACCACACGGGGTGACACCGGACCCGCTGCACGAGAAGGTAAGTTGTAAAGCAAGCCGACGATCCCCGCAGGAATGGATCGGACCTGCGGATTGAGCATAATGGATCGGAGTCTGATCCATTATGCTCCGCAATCCGCAGATCCGATCCATCAGCATGCAACCTATACGGGGTGACACCAGACCCGCTCCACGAAAAGGTAAGTTGTAAAGCAAGCCGACGATCCCCGCAGGATGGATCTGATCTGCAGATTAGGGATCATCAGACTCCGATCCATTATGCTCAATCCGCGGATCTGATCCATCCTGCGGGGATCGTCGCCATGCAACCTATACGGGGTGACACCGGACCCGCTCCACGAAAAGGTAAGTTGTAAAGCAAGCCGACGATCCCCGCAGGATGGATCTGATCTGCAGATTAGGGATCATCAGACTCCGATCCATTATGCTCAATCCGCGGATCTGATCCATCCTGCGGGGATCGTCGCCATGCAACCTATACGGGGTGACACCGGACCCGCTCCACGAAAAGGTAAGTTGTAAAGCAAGCCGACGATCCCCGCAGGATGGATCGGATCTGCGGATTGGGGAGACCAATGGATCAGACTCCGATCCATTATGCTCAATCTGCAGATCCCATCCATCCTGCGGGGATCGTCGGCTTGCTTTACAACTTACCTTTTCGTGGAGCGGGTCCGGTGTCACCCCGTGCGGTAGGTGTCACCTGGAGCGGTGCGCACCCCCGCACCTGCCTATGGACACCACTGGGGCCACCAATGGGGTTAGCGGGGAAGACTTTTTTGACTTACCTGCAGTTTTGAATCTGTTCTTCGCTTTCGCTGTTTGTTGTTGGAGAAGGAGTGCATGAAATGAGGTTGGCAATAAAATTTACCTGGAGATAAAAGGAGAACAATGTTACTGCTGAGAAGGAGAAGTGTTTCTAAAAGCTGCTTACTAATAACGAAATGACAATATTAGGTGCTTATATGCTAATGAAAGGTTAATTGCAGGTTCAGGAAAACAATTTATTTGAATTCTGGTACATCCCCGTGGGCCGCAGGGGAGTCAAACTGGCGGCCCTCCAGCTGTTGTGAAACTACAAGTCCCATCATGCCTCTAGGCCTTTGGGTGTCCTGCTTGTAACTGTCAATCTTGCAATGCCTCATGGGGCTTGTAGTTTGACAACAGCAGGAGGGCCGCCAGTTTGACACCCGTGCCTTAAAGCATCTGCCTGACTCTCTGGCAGGATTTGGACTTCCCTATCCCCCCCCTTATCTATGCCCCTGGTGACAATATTTCTTAGACCAGGGGTGACAAACTGGCGGCCCTCCAGCTGTTGCGAAACTACAAGTCCCATCATGCCTCTGCCTTTGGAAGTCATGCTTGTAACTGTCAATCTTGCAATGCCTCATGGGACTTGTAGTTTGGGGAACAGCTGGAGGGCTACCAGTTTGACACCCGTGCCGTGGGGGAATAGTAAGAATGGGACCTTATTACCTTCTCACATATATGTGGCCATGCGAGACGCATTTTGCACGGGCATGAGAGCCCATTCATTTAAATGGACTCCCGTGCCCATGACACGCACGGGAAGAAGTCCCTGCACTTCTTTGGAAAACGCAGCCGAGGTTCCCAGTACGGTTACGTTATTCCAGTGCGGGCGGCGTGCCATTAGAACTAATGACACCCACCCGCGGGTCCGCATTTCTCTGTGCGGGTGGTGCAGCTGCATGGATTTTTGTGCAGATCCGCAGCGGCACCACCCGCACATATGTGAACCTAGGGTAAACGTAATTTGCAGGTTCCACCTCCATCCTGCTCTTGAGCAATCAACATCTGCCTTGACACATTGGCTGTACGGACATAAATGTTGGGGTATCTTCTTGACGCTCATTAGAACCGAAGAAGAGCTTTGGAGGAGCTAAAAGCAGTGGCGGACTGACAACTCATAGGGCCCCCGGACAATAGGGGGATCATGGGGCCCCTGTGTCCTTGCCCAAACTCAAAAAAGCCTATGAAAAAAGTACCAGGGGCATCTCACGGGGCCCCCTACTGACCCCCCCGGGCCCTCGGGCAGTGCCTGAGTTTCCAAATGGTCAGTCCGCCCCTGGCTACAAGACGTCTTCACAGAACAAGTCAGGCGGAATGAGGTCCGCTATTACTAAATATTATAACTTTTATAGTTGTCCCTTGTGCCAAAAACACTTTTTTTTTGCTGTTTTTATCCCTTTAACTGTTGCGGTTCCTCAGCGGCGGTGGGGATTGGGACTGTGTGAGGTTTAGTTGTAGATAAAATCTGAACGGTTCCTCGGCTCTTTCTGTTTTTATTTCTTGTTTAGATTAAAAAAAAAAAAAAAAAAAAAAGGATTATTTTCCCGCGATAAAATCTAATCTTCCAGGACTTTAGGAATGCAACGCACAATAGAGGCCAAATATTCGGCCCAATCACAGCCAGCGCCTGTTGCGCCCTCAGGACATGTGCGTCCCATGTATGTTTGGTTAGCACATCTTGTTGTTACTTCTGAAAGGGAACGGCAGCCGGAGATCAGGGAGCTGGAAAATCTGCAAAGTCGGCTGATGGCTTACATTTAAAAGAGCAGCTCTGAGCTATTCCGTGTTTCTTTTCACTGCAAATGTGCTGCAACCATTCGAGCACTCGGGCACTCTCCGAGGGCCCGGGGTCAGTAGGGGGCCCCATGAAATGCCCCTGGTACCTTTTTTTTTTTATAGGCTTTTTTGAGTGTGGGCAAGGACACAGGGGCCCCATGATCCCCTATTGCCCAGGGGCCCCATGAGTTGTCAGTTCCCCCCTGGCTGCAACTTTTATACTGTTTATGTGTTGTTACCTCCATGATGTAATGTAGAATGGATTCATTAGGAGGGATACAGTTCTGTCCAGGAAAATAATTTTTATGAGAGAAAAAAAAAAAAAAAGTCTAATAATGCACGTAATGTATCCAATATACACTATATTGCCAAAAGTATTGGCCCCGCCCTCCAAATCATGTGATTCAGGTGTTCCAATCGCCTCCAAATCATGTGATTCAGGTGTTCCAAATCGCCTCCAAATCATGTGATTCAGGTGTTCCAATCCCTTCCCAATCATGTGATTCAGGTGTTCCAACCCCCTCCAAATCATGTGATTCAGGTGTTCCAATCCCTTCCCAATCATGTGATTCAGGTGTTCCAATCCCTTCCCAATCATGTGATTCAGGTGTTCCAATCCCCTCCCAATCATGTGATTCAGGTGTTCCAATCCCCTACCAATCATGTGATTCAGGTGTTCCAATCCCCTCCCAATCATGTGATTCAGGTGTTCCCCACAATCCCCTACCAATCATGTGATTCAGGTGTTCCAATCCCCTCCCAATCATGTGATTCAGGTGTTCCAATCCCCTCCCAATCATGTGATTCAGGTGTTCCAATCCCCTCCATGGACACAGGTGTATACAATCAAGCCCCTAGGCATGCAGACTGCTTCTACAAACATTGGTGAAAGAATGGGTCGCTCTCAGGAGCTCAGTGACTCCAAGCGTGGTCCCGTGATAGGTGGCCACCTGGGCAATAAGTCCATCCGTGACATTTCCTGGCTACTAAATATTCCACGCTCAACTGTTAGTGGGATTATAACAAAGTGGAAGCAACTGGGAACAACAGCAACTCAGCCACCAAGTGGTAGGCCACGTCACATGACAGGGCGGGGTCAGCGCATGCTGAAGCGCACAGTGCGCAGAAGTCGCCAACTGTCTGCATAGTCAATAGCTAAAGACCTCCAAACTTGGTGTGGCCTTCAGATGAGCCCAACAACAGTGCATAGAGAGATCATGGAATGGGTTTCCATGGCCGAGCATGTAAGGGGGAACTCTGATGAGGATGCTGATGTAAGGGGAGACTGTAATGTAAATGGCTCTGATATAAGAAGAGACTCTGATGGTGAACCTAATGTAAGGGGGAACTCTGAAAGGGATACTGATGTAAGGGGTGTCTGATGTAAGGGCAACTTTGTTGGGGATATTGATGTAAGGGGTGGACACTGATGTAAGGGGGGACCTTGCAAGGGACTCTGATGTAAGGGGGGACTCTGATGGTGAACCTGATGCAAGGGGGAACTCTGATAGGGACTCTGCTGTAAGCGGGACTCTGATAAGGACTCTGAAGTAAGGTGGGGACTGTAATGTAAGGGGGAGACTTTAATGTGAACCTGATGTAAGGGGTAACTCTGATGGGGATGCTGATGTAAGGGGGGACTGTGAGGAGGACCCTGATATAAGTGGGACTCTGAAAGGGACTCTGATGTAAGAGGGACCCTGATAAGAACTCTGATGTAGGTGGGACGCAGATAAGGACTCTGATGTAAGGGGGTACTCTGATAGGGAATCTGATGTAAGAGGGACCCTAATAAGGACTATAATGTAAGGGGGGACTCTAATCTAAGGGGAGACTTTGATGTGAACCTGATGTAAGGGGTAACTCTGACTTAAGGACGACTCTGATGGGGATACTGACGTAAAGGGGGACCTTGCAAAGGACTCTGATGTAAGGGGGGTCTCATGGGGACCCTGATGTAAGGTGGGACTCTGATAGGGACTCTGATGTAAGGGGTAACTCTGATGTAAGGGGAACTCTGATGGGGATGCTGATTTAAGTGGAACTCTGATGTAAGGGGAATCTGATGGGGATCCTGATGTAAGGGGGAACTCTGATGTAAGGACAACTCTGATGTGGATCCTGATGTAAGGGGCAGGCTCTGATGAAAAGGGGGACCTTGCAAAGGACTCTGATACAAGGGGGGGGGGGGGGGCTCTCATGGGGACTCTGATGTAAGGTGGGACTCTGATATAAGGGGTAACTCTGATGTAAGGAGAACTCTGATGCTAATGTAAGGGGGGCTCTGATGCTGATGTAAGAAGGACCTCTGATGGGTATCCTGATGTAAGGGGGACCTCTGATGTGGATCTTGATGTAAGGGGGGCTCTGATGCTGATGTAAGGGGACTGTGATGATGGGGACCCTAATGTAAGGGGAGCCCTCTGATGTAAGGGGACCCTGATGTAAGGGGAACTCTGATGCTGATGTAAGGGGAACTCTGGGGACTGTGATGGGGACCCTAATGTAAGGGGGACCTCTGATGGGGACCCTGATGTAAGGGGGGGACTCTGATGCAGTAATTGGCACCTCATTATCCCATACAGTTCTAAAACACACTGGTAGGTTCACCATCTTCCCCCCAAATCCCCTGTTCTGGGTGGTACCTACCCTCTTCCATATTGAACACATAATTCCCCAGTCGGAGGACGGTGGAGCAGAAGGAACACTTGAAGCACTCGCGGTGGAAGAAATGTCCTTCGGCGCTCAGCCGCTCCACCACATAGACTCTCTTCTTGCAGAAATAACACGTGTCGCTCCCACCGATATTCGGAGGAAACTCCTTCCTCAGGGATCCCTAGAAAACAAGAAATTGTATCTCTATTAACCCCCACGGATCTTCTCTCTAATGTGTTCCTGTACATTGTTTCTTTATTTATCGGAGTCAAGAAAAAAAAAAATATATATATTTTGGGTGTGTCAGGTAAATACAAAATATTGTAAATATTTCTTTTATAGCCAGCAGATGGCGCTTTCTGCTTTTTTTTTTTTCTCTCATCTCCTTGCTGTTGTTTACAGTCCTCAGTAGCTGAAGATGGAAATACATTTGTGGACATCTTATAATTTTTTTTCTCTCATTGTCAGAAACGCAGTTCTCATCCAAGCCTATTTGCACATTGTCAGAGTATACTAAGCCAGCCCTATAAAATACCTCCTTCTCCGTGTCATCTAAAGCCTAGGAAAACATCGCATGGTCTCTGGCATTTCAGGATATTGCAGGAAGAAAGGATTGTGACGGGAGTCGCGTTGGGTGGGGGGGCCCATGGAACACAGCCCCCTTTGGAGAGGTGCGGAGACCCCTGTCTCAGCTCCCCATATCCCTATTATGTGTGAGTCACCCTGTGCCTGTTAGGGGTACAGGATGATCTGTCCTAATATTGTGTACACCTGTATAGGTGGGGTGTGGGGGTTGTTCATTGTTTAATGCCATGTGGTTGTCCCATTGTTCTATTGTGTCTTGCTTGGGAGCAGGGGCGGACTGACCATTTGGAAACTCAGGCACTGCCCGAGGGCCCAGGGTCAGTAGGGGGCCCCATGAGATGCCCCTGGTACCTTTTTCATAGGCTTTTTTGAGTTTGGGCAAGGACACAGGGGCCCCATGATCCCCTATTGCCCGGTGGCCCCATGAGTTTGTCAATCCGCCCCTGCTTGGGAACAAACTATTACGGGATGTATGTGTTTGTGTATTGGCTTGGTGGGGGGTGTCTGCTGTGTGTCTCTTGTTACTGAATGAATTGCCCCGCCCTGTGTACATATCTTGTGTCTGTGTTAAAATAAAGCAGTCCATTTCCTATTTTAATACAAGTCTGGTGCTGTCTCGTCTTGTATGGTCAGCGGTGGTGTCCGTGGATCTGTGTTCGGACAGGGAAGATGGAGTCTAACGGAAATTACCAAGTGCAGTCCGGGTCCAGTTCTGTTACAAGGATATTGTAGAAAGTCTATTTTTTGCAATAGGACAGAGCCCGTCTGTTAGGTTTGGTAGGAGATGAGAGGCTCCAAAGGCACAACCATTGTGCAATGCTACTAAGTACACGTGTAGTAAACACAAATATGGCTACACTTATGTATATGTATGACTGAAAATGATACAGAAACAATTAAAAAATATTCACGTTACCAGAATTAACATTCTGCTATTTAAATGTGTTTAGCCTAAAACAATGGTCTCCAAACTGCGGCCCAGGGGCCAGACGTGGCCCTTTGCTTATCTCTATTTGGCCCTTGGGGCATTATTCTTTCCTCTGATATAAGGCACTATTCCCCTACTGACACCAACGACGGGGCATTATTCCTCCCACTGATACCAATGATGGGGGACTATTCCTTCCAATAATACCAATGATGGGGCACTATTCCCCCCACTGACACCAATGATGGGGCACTATTCCTCCCACTGACACCAATGATGGGGCACTATTCCTCCCACTGACACCAATGATGGGGCACTATTCTTCCCACTGATACCAATGATGGGGCACTATTCCTCCCACTGACACCAATGATGGGGCACTATTCCTCCCACTGACACTAATGATGGGGCACTATTCCTCCCACTGATACCAATGATGGGGCACTATTCCTCCCACTGACACTAATGATGGGGCACTATTCCTCCCACTGATACCAATGATGGGGCACTATTCCTCCCACTGACACCAATGATGGGACACTATTCCTCCCACTGATACCAATGATGGGGCACTATTCCTCCCACTGACACTAATGATGGGGCACTATTCCTCCCACTGACACTAATGATGGGTTACTATTCCTCCCACTGACACCAATGATGGGGCACTATTCCTCCCACTGATACCAATGATGGGGGACTATTCCTTCCAATAATACCAATGATGAGGCACTATTCCTCCCACTGATACCAACGACGGGGGGACTATTCCTCCCAATAATACCAATGATGGGACATTATTCCTCCTACTGCCACCAACGATGGGACACTATTCCTCCTACTGACACCAATGATGGGGCACTATACCTCCCACTGATACCAATGATGGGGCACTATTCCTCCTAATGACACCAATGACTGGGCACTATGCCTCCCACTGATACCAATGATGGGGCACTATTCCTCCCACTGACACCAATGATGGGGCAATATTCCTCCCACTGACACCAATGATGGGGCAATATTCCTCCCACTGACACCAATGATGGGGCACTATTCCTCCCACTGATACCAATGATGTGGCACTATTCCTCCCACTGATACCAATGATGGGGCACTATTCCTCCTACTGACACCAATGATGGGGCACTATTCCCCCCACTGACACCAATGATGGGGCACCATTCCACCCACTAATACCAATGATGGGACACTATTCCCCCCCACTGACACCAACGATGGGGCACTATACCTCCCACTGATACCAATGATGGGGGACTATTCCTCCCAATAAAACCAATGATGGGACACTATTCCCCCCCACTGACACCAACGATGGGGCACTATACCTCCCACTGACACCAATGATGGGGGACTCTTCCTCCCAATAATACCAAGGATGGGGCACTATTCCTCCCACCAATACCAATGATGGGACACCATTCCTCCCACTGACACCAATGATGGGGCAATATTCCTCCCACTAATACCAATGATGGGGCCATTGGTTGTAGTAAACACCCTTAGAAGTAGGGGACATGTCTTCTCTCGGTCTACCGGCTTCTTTCTTGATCTCCTCCTGCGTCACCCGGGACTCCCACCGCCATCTTCTCCAGTTTCCAAACTACACAGAGGCCACCCCATTCAGGAACCTGTCCACACCGACCCGCTTCGGGCGGCTTTCCTCTATGACTGCACTACCTAGGAATGATGAAAAGGACCCCAGGGGCCCTTCATAGTTTCTTGCTCTGGATCCCTGAAGGTTCTAGTTATGCCTCTGTTTTTATAGCTTTACAAGTGGTCGCTCTGCCGAAAATCCAGTGAGCGCCTAACTTCCCGCTTGGGCTGACAGCACAGCGCCTCTGCTGCATTGAAATCCCAGCCCCGCCTGCATAGACTACAGAACTGCACCTATTTCCTCGCCGCTCTTTGTACCTCTCTAAATGCATAGACACTGCCCGGGCTCCGAAGAGCCTGCCAATTTACAGCATGTAGAGAAAGGGCTCTTGGGAGACGTAGTTCTGGGGGCACCCCTTCGTCAGAGATTTAAGTGAGGTTTTGAACATTTTGAGAGTTCCTCTTGAATTACTGCCATATATATTTGATACTCTCACAGACCCCCCCCCCCCCCCCACCTTATGACCTCGTTACAGATACAATAGATAAAGAAGGAAGGAAGAGTAGAGTACCTTCTGGGAAGGAGAGACAGGAGAAGAAGAAGGAGATTCAGCAAAGGGTTCAGTCACCCCTACATCCAGCGAGCTCTGAATTCAACACAAAATCACATTATTCACCTTATAACACACAAGAAAAATACTTGTCTCAATGGGGGGGGGGGGGTTTACTAAAACCGGCCCACTCAGAATCCGGTGCAGCTGTGCTTGGTAGCCAATCGGCTTCTAACTTCAGATTGTTAAGTTTTGACAATAAAACCTGGAAGCTGATTGGTTTCTCTGGAGTACTGCACCAGATTTTGCACCCTTCAGATTTTAGTAAATCTCTCCCCAATGTGTCAGCTTAGAGTAATTTTATTATTTCTCTAAATTAACTTAAAAGGATCTACCGTATGTAAAAAAAAACAAAAAAAAATTTGCTGTGTACAGATGTCCTTCGCATTCGCACAAGCCGTATTTTTTGTCATAATGATTATCTCCTCTATTCAGCAGCTCCATCTAGTGGTCATATTGGGGTATTGTATATTTCAGGAAAATACTACATTATGGTCACTAGATGGCGCTGATGGTCACATGAGATATTACAAACAATGCGGTCATCATTCATGGTGCCCGTGCTTAAGGCATCCACACAGTGAATTCATTGATACATAGACCCCCCCCATGTGGATATAGTCAAAATGTTTTGTTTTGGTTCAAGTAAGGAAGAGGTGAAGGCTTAGTCCACCTTTGGGAATAAAACTAGTAAGTGATCTTCATGATTATTGTGCATTTCCTACATTGAAGCCTGCAGAGCTTTGCATCCGAGATCAGTGCGTTGGGGGTGCAATGAAGAGGTTCCTTCAATGCCTTCCCCAGCCTCAGATCTGTATGGAGGTGGCAGACAGGATGTGTAGCATATCAATGGAAACAATCCCAGACCTGAATGGTGGAGCCACGCACACAGAAGGAAGAAGGAGGGGCTGGTTTGGGGGTGGGTGGGGGGATTGGGGAACATGACCATGCTTCATGTTACCCTATATGAGGGGGTGTAACATGAAATATGGTCTAAATGTGGATGAAACCTTTGAAAGTCCTACTAGGTTCTTTTTTTGCTGTCCATGTTTTGCTGTGGAGACATTCCTTCACTTCCTGTCCTTAAGATGCAAAAGAACGGAAGGAAAGCTTAATAGAGTAAGGGACATTTCCATCTAAGATAGTTGCCTCTACAGCATTTGTTCGCATTGGAAGGTTTACCCTAGTGACAACTCTAAAATTTGGCATTTCCCCTCACCTACTCGGGATGATTTACTAAGAGAGTTGAGAATCTTCTACCACAGAGTGAGTAGACCAGCCTCTGAGGAAATTTAACTAAGGTTCATACCATTTTAATGGTGGGGGTGGGTAGGTGGGTTGTCATGGAACATCTGTCCCCATGGGAAGGTTTACTCTTGTGACAAATCTAGATTTTGGGATTTCCCCACAACTATGCGGGCAAATTTACTGAAGGAGTTGAGAACTTTCTAGCACAGAGTAGAATGAGTAGACTAGCCCCCGCAGAACTGTAGCAAGGAGAATACCATTTTAGTTGTTTGCCACCGGAACATCTGTTCCCATTGGAAGGTTTACTGTTGTGGCAAATCTAGATTTTGGGCCTTCCCACACCTACTTGTGGCAAATTTACTAAAGAAGTTGAGAACTTTTTAGCACAGAAAAGAATGAGTAGACCAGCCCCCCGCAGAACTATGGCAAGGAGAATACCATTTTAGTTGTTTGTCACTGGAATATCTGTCCCCATTGGAAGGTTTACCCTTGTGACAACTCTAGATTTTGGGATTTCCCCACAACTACTTTGGCGAATTTACTAAAGGAGTTGAGAACTTTCTAGCACAGAGTAGAATGAGTAGACTAGGTCCTGCAGAACTGTAGCAAGGAGAATACCAATCTAATTGTTTGTCACTGGAACATCTATCCCCACTGGAAGGTTTACCCTTGTGACAACTCTAAAGTTTGGGATTTCCCTTCACCTACTTTGGCTGATTTACTAAAGGTTTTTGAGAACTTTTTACCAAAGAGAATCAATAGATTTCCCCCCTGAAGGACTTAAAGTAAGGATCATACCATTTTGGTGGTGGAAGTGGGTGTTTACCTTTGGTGGTTTGTCAGTGGAATATCTGTCCCCATTAGAAGGTTTACCCTTGTGACAACTCTAACGTTTTGGATTTCCCCTCACCAACTTGGGCTGATTTACTGAGGGTCATACCATTGTGGTGGTGGTGGTGGGGGGTCTATTAATTATGTCACAGTAAGTGCCTCTTTCCAATATTGTGAAAAATGGTTCTGAATGAAGAGTAGAATTTGTGTGTTCTAAAAGGTTTACCTTTGTGACAACTCTAAAGTTCCAGATTTTTCCTCACTTACTGAGGACGATTAACTAAAAGAATTGTGAATCTTCTGCCAGAGAGTAGAATGAGTAGACCAGTCCCCATAGAATTAAAGCAAGGAGCATACAATTTTAGTTGTTTGTCACCGGAACATCTATCCCCACTGGAAGGTTTACGCTTGTGACAACTCTAAAGTTTGGAATTTCCCTTCACCTGCTTGGGTTGATTTACTAAAGGTTTTGAGAACCTTCTACCAAAGAGAATCAGTAGACCAACCCCTGAGGGACTTTAAGTAAGGGTCATACCATTTTGGTGGTGGAGGTGGGTGGGTGGTTTGTCAGTGGAACATCTGTCCCCATTAGAAGGTTTACCCTTGTGACAACTCTAAAGTTACGGATTTCCCCTCACCTACTTGGGCTGATTTACTAAGGGTCATACCATTTTGGTGGTGGTGGGGTCTACTAATTATTTCACAGTAAGTGCCTCTTTCCAATAATGTGAAAAATGGTTCCGAATGAAGAGTAGAATTTGTGTGTTCTAAAAGGATTTTTACCCTTGTGACAACTCTAAAGTTTGGGATTTCCCTTCACCTACTTCGGCTGCTTTACTAAAGGTTTTGAGAACCTTCTACCAAAGAGAATCAGTAGTCCAACCCCTGAGGGACTTAAAGTAAGGGTCATACATTTTTTTGGTGGTGGAGGTTGGGTGGGTGGTTTGTCAGTGAAATATCTGTCCCCATTAGAAACTCTGAAGACTTTTTCGGATTTCCCCATCACCTACTTGGGCTGATTTACTAAAGGTTTTGAGAACCTTCTACCAAAGAGAATCAGTAGACCATTTCCCCCCTGAGGGACTTAAAGTAAGGGTCATACCATTTTGGTGGTGGAGGTGGGTGGGTGGTTTGTCAGTGAAATATCTGTCCCCATTAGAAACTCTGAAGTTTCGGATTTCCCCTCACCTACTTGGGCTGATTTACTGCTTTAAGGTTTTGAGAACCTTCTACCAAAGAGAATCAGTAGACCAACCCCTGAGGGACTTAAAGTAAGGGTCATCATTTTGGTGGTGGAGGTGGGTGGGTGGTTTGTCAGTGAAATATCTGTCCCCATTAGAAACTCTGAAGTTTCGGATTTCCCCTCACCTACTTGGGCTGATTTACTAAAGGTTTTGAGAACCTTCTACCAAAGAGAATCAGTAGACCAACCCCTGAGGGACTTAAAGTAAGGGTCATACCATTTTGGTGGTGGAGGTGGGTGGGTGGTTTGTCAGTGAAATATCTGTCCCCATTAGAAGGTTTACCCTTGTGACAACTCTAACGTTTCGGATTTCCCCTCACCTACTTGGGCTGATTTACTAAGGGTCATACCACTTTTGTGGTGGTGATGAAGAGTAGAACTTTTGTTTTCTAAAAGTTTTATGTAATGGCCGTCGTCATTTTTTAAGCCAGTAATTGTCATGTGTTGCGGCTGATTTCTGCTGCTTACCAGCTCTGAGGATCTCGTTCTACTTTTGTGATCGCTCATATAAAGGCAGACAAGGACTTCTGCCACAGCTCCTACTCTCGGCTGGACACGTTCCCTACCGTCGCCTATTTGGCAGAAAGAACACAGAGGAACAGAGGAAAAGATAACAGACTTAATAGATTGTTGCAGCAAGAAAAGAAATGTCTCAGATTAGTTATAGAATATTAATATAGAAGCTACAGAAGGTTAATGAAAGCCAAGCTATCTCTGAAAACAGCACAAAAAAGGAGACGTCTGTGGCAACCGGGTCATCAAGAGACCAACTGAAGCTGTTTCAAGATAAAATTCAGCTGGAAGGAAAGATAATTCTGAAAATATAGTCATATAAAGATGAATGAATGTTTCTAATTAGCCCCAAAATATTACATTGTATTCTCACAGCAAAACCTTTATTTTAGGCTGGATGTTAACCCCTAGACGCCGAGCGCACCCAAATAGGTGGTCTCTCGGCATCTGGGCCTTGGCCGCATATGTGCGTATCATTTGAAAATACATGTGCTGAGAGCGTGTGCCCTGCATATTTGTCCGTGTCTCACGGAAAGGTCCCGATCTCCCCTTGCGATTGGGACCTTTTCCGATCATGTGACTGCCGTGACAGCGAATCACGGCGGTCACATGACCCTAAAACCCTGCCCCGCCTCCTAGCTTCTGAAACTCTTAAAGGGCCGGGAGGTGATGGCGCATAGGGGTTAATAAAGGTGACTCTGAAATAACAGAGAGAGCACTAGATAGTCGTTCTAAGAGTCCATAATCTTTTATTGTTGATAAATTTGAGACAAGAGGAAGATAAAAAAAAAAACAAAGCGTTTCGAGGACCAACCAACCCCCCTTCATCAAGGCTTGAATGAGAAATGACAAATCTTCCTGTAGGACATTTTGTACTATGTCAAGGAGGGGGCATTAGTAGCCACAGTGGATGTATGTTTAACATGCTTGGTTTGAACAGGAATCCCCATGATGACATGTTCCTGTCCATAAATGGTCAATGATGTCATCCAGGAGACCCCACCCCTTTGATTATATCAGCTGTCATTCATGGGACCTGTCATTCAGAGGGAGTGAAGTGACTGGACAAGATGTGTCGGGGGCCAGCAATTTTTTTTTCTTCTGGGTGTGTCGGTGGCTTCACATACATTGTGATTGATGTGGTCTACATTGCTAGGCGATTGATGGTGATGCACATTGTGGGACATTTTTTTTTTTTTTTTTTTTAAGAATGTCCTTTTTCAAAACTGTGTTTTTTTGTGGGAGGAGGATTAGTTCTAGGAGGGGGGATTTGGGGCAATTTGTGCTGGGAGGGGGAATTTGTGCTAGGAGGTGAAAATGGGAGGAGGGATTAGTGCCAGGAGGGGGTTATTTGGAGAATTTGTGCTAGGAGGGGAAATTAGGGGGATTATTAGTGCCAGAAGGGGGGGATTTGTGCTGGGAGGTGGGAATTTGTGCTGGGAGGAGGGAAATTGTGCTAGGAGAGGAGATTTGGGGGGAGGATTAGTGCCAGGAAGGGGATTTTGGGGGGATTTGTGCTGGGAGGAGGGAATTTTGTGCTAGGATGGGAAATTGGGGGGATTAGTGCCAGGAGGGGGAATTTGTGCTAGGAGAGGAAATTGGGGGGAGAATTAGTTCCAGTGGGGGGAAGTTTTGTGCTGGGATGAAGGAATTTGTGCTAGGAGAGGAAATTGGGGGGATAATTAGTGCCAGGAGGGGGGGGATTTGGGTGGATTTGTGCTGGGAGGGGGGGAGGGTTAGTGCCGGGGGGGGGGGATTTGTGCTGGGAGTGAGGAATTTGTGCTAGGAGAGGAAATTGGGGGGAGAATTAGTGCCACGAGGGGGGATTTGTGTTGGGAGGGGGGGAATTGTGCTAGGAGGGGAAATTGGGGGGAGGGTTAGTGCCAGGAGGGGGATTTTGGGGGGATTTGTGCTAGGAGGGGAAATTGGGGGGGAGAGGATGAGTGCCAGGAGGGGGATTTTGGAGGGATTTGTGCTGGGAGGGGGGAATTTGTGCTAGGAGGGGTAGTTGGGGGGAGGAATAGTGCCAGGAGGGGGGATTTGGGGGGATTTGTGCTGGGAGTGAAGAATTTGTGCTAGGAAGGGAAATTGGGGAGAGGATTAGTGCCGGGGGGGTTGGGGGGATTTGATACTCTGATGCAAGCAGCGAGAGGAGTTATGCAATTATTAAAATGCCTTGATGGGTGGATGTCAGTCTGGAGGAGTGGGCGTTCCTAGGCAGGCTCTATTTGCATAGTAACACCCACATGTTGAGCCTCCATGATGAAAAGAACTGAAATCGAATAACTGAAAAAGGCGGGACACAGAGACAGCCAGGCTGGGGAGGAAAGGGCTATAGATTACGCTGGATGTCCTCCAGCCAGGAAATGGGGCGGAGCTCTGTGTGACTTGCTGCAGCTTCTAATGCACACTGTGAGAAGCTCAAAGTGTGCGGTGACATCAGAGGAAGTCATTTCAGTCCAGGAGCTGGTAGCCCTGTGCAAGACTGAAGGGGAGGAGCCGGTACCCCTGTGCAAGGCTGGAGGGGAGGAGCTGGTACCCTGTGCAAGGCTGGAGGGGAGGTCAGATCTAATACACCCCTCCCACAGCCCAGCTTTCTCTCCTTGTGCATGGTGACTGGTCTTGTCTCCGCCCCCTCCTGAATTTTCTACATGCTGCCTATAGTGGGAGGGGCCTGCAGGGTCCCTCCCACAGCCCTGCTCTCACTCCTTGTGCAGGGTGACTAGTCTTTTCTCTGCCCCCTCCTGTAGTTTCCTGCAGGCAGCCTGTAGAGGGTGGGGCCTGCTGGGCCCCTCCCACAGCCCTGCTCTCTCCTTGTGCAGGTGACTGGTCTTGTCTCCGCCCCATCCTGTAGTTTTCTACAGGCTGCCTATAGTGGGTGGGGCCTGTTGGGTCCCTCCCACACCTCTGCTCTCTCTCCTTGTGCCTGGTAACTGGTCTTGTCTCCGCCCCCTCCTATATTTTCTACAGGCTGCCTATAGTGGGTGGGGCCTGCTGGCTCCTCTCTGCACAAGCTATGAACAGCACGGCGATGATGTCACAGCTACTTTTACAAACTAATATCTGGGTTTGCAATGGCATTTGAGTGGATTTATGGAGGTTTATGTGGCCAGAGTTCATCTTTAATACAGGATTGAAGGGGTGTAGCGGAATTCTCTTTATTTTCGGAGATCACACTGGAAAGTCGACGTCTTTTTATAGGACTGTCCTGTTGGTGGAACATCCGCGCTCCCCGCAATGATGGCACGCCGTTATATAAAGTGTTTTCTTTTCCCGTCCAGCCCTCGGCACAGCGCTGTCTGGTCATACGGCCTGGCTGAGCATCAAAGGCCCCCCCCAGGGGCACCCCCTGTGCCTGGAGGGAGCGCCCCCCTCCCCGCCCCGCCTCTCACATCAGATCGGCTTGTTTTTCTTCTTCTTTTTTTTTACATTTAAAGGGCGACTCTCAGCCATGGAAGTGAAGAGACTCGCCGTCCCCGCTAGAAACATTGTCCAGGTTGAAGGCTCGCTTCACACCTACGCGGTTTGCTGTTGCGTTTTGCAGAAACGCACAGCAGTCCATTTAACATGATTTCCTATGAGACGCGTTCACATCTCCGCGTTTTCACCCCGCTGCGTTTTTAGGAAAGGGTCAGTGACTTTTTTTTTTTAAACGCAAACATTTTTTTGCTTCTATAGACTTCAATGGAGATGCTGCAGAAAAGCATGTAGTGCATTTTTGATGCATTTTGATGCTTTTTGCGGTTTAATCTGCCCAGCAGTTGGAAAAAAAAAACTAAAAATGCATCAAAAACACATGTGCAACAGCGCAAAACGCACCGCAAAAAGCACTGCAGAAACGGATCAAACTGCATAGGTGTGACCTGGCCTGAGTATTTTGATACATTTTTGTTACATTTCTATCAATTTTTCAGAAAGTTGCATCAAAGAGAAGCTGTATGTTTTCAATGGACCCATTTAAGGGCTTAACAAAGATGGTGCCGTCCTCCTGCAAAGACAGGCAGATGAAGGCATTGTCAGGGGTGCGGGGGGGCCAGAATGCGGGGGAACGTAGTTCCGGCATCTTTAGCGCACTGAATGCGGTAATGGCAAAGGGGGCTGGGGAGTGCTGGAGGGTCTACTGATGTTTATTTCTGGTGATCTATTGTAGCTGGGGTGTAGTGCTAATGGGGGGGCTGTTGTTGGGAGGGATCTATTGTTGCTGGTGGGGGATAAATTGTTGATCTTGGGTTCCTATATTGATGGAAGGATCTACTGTTGAGGGGGGTCTATTAATGCTGGCTGGTGGGGTATCTATTGTTCTGGGGTTCTTATATTGTTGGAAGGATCTACTGTTGGGGGATTCATGATGCTGGCTGCTGGGGTATCTATTGTTGCTCTGGAGTTCTTATGTTGTCAGGGGATCTACTGTTGGGGGGGGGGTCTATTGATGGTGGCTGCTGGGCTATCTGTTGTTGCTCTGGGATTCTTATATTGTTGGGGAGATCTATTGTTGAGGGGGGGTCTATTGATGCTGGCTGCTGGGGGATCTATTGCTGCCCGCAGGGGTCTATTGTTGCTAAGACAGATCTATTGTTTTTGGGAGAGTTTTTTGTTGCTGGAAAGGACAGTGCTCAGAGGCAGGTCAGGGGTGGAGCCAAGGGATAGTTCTCAGAGGTAGGTCAGAGGCGGAGACAAGGGACAGTTCTCAGAGGTAGGTCAGGGGCGGAGACAATGGACGGTGCTCAGAGGTAGGTCAGTGGGGAGACAAGGGACGGTTCTCAGAGGTAGGTCAGAGGCGGAGACAAGGGACGGTTCTCAGAGGTAGGTCAGAGGCGGAGACAAGGGACGGTTCTCAGAGGTAGGTCAGAGGCGGAGACAAGGGACGGTTCTCAGAGGTAGGTCAGAGGTGGAGACAAGGGATGGTGTTCAGAGGTAACTCAGGGGTGGAGACAAGGGACAGTGCTCGGAGGTAGGTCAGGGGCGGAGACAAGGGACAGTGCTAAGAGGTAGGTCAGGGTTCTCAGAGGTAGGTCAGAGGCGGAGACAAGGGACAGTGCTCAGGGGTAGGTCAGGGGTGGAGACAAGGGACAGTGCTCAGAGGTAGGTCAGAGGCGGAGACAAGGAACAGTGCTCAGAGGTAGGTCAGAGGTGGAGACAAGGAACAGTGCTCAGAGGTAGGTCAGAGGCGGAGACAAGGAACAGTGCTCAGAGGTAGGTCAGAAGCGGAGACAAGGAATAGTGCTCAGAGGTAGGTCAGAGGCGGAGACAAGGGACAGTGCTCAGAGGTAGGTCAGGGGCGAAGACAAGGAACAGTGCTCAGAGGTAGGTCAGAGGCGGAGACAAGGAATAGTGCTCAGAGGTAGGTCAGAGGCGGAGACAAGGGACAGTGCTCAGAGGTAGGTCAGGGGCGGAGACAAGGGACATATCTAAGAGGTAGGTCAGGAGTGGAGACAAGGGACAGTGCTCGGAAGTACGTCAGGGTTCTCAGAGGTAGGTCAGAGGCGGAGACAAGGGACAGTGCTCAGGGGTAGGTCAGGGGTGGAGACAAGGGACAGTGCTCAGGAGGTAGGTCAGAGGCGGAGACAAGGAACAGTGCTCAGAGGTAGGTCAGAGGTGGAGACAAGGAACAGTGCTCAGAGGTAGGTCAGAGGCGGAGACAAGGAACAGTGCTCAGAGGTAGGTCAGAGGCGGAGACAAGGAATAGTGCTCAGAGGTAGGTCAGAGGCGGAGACAAGGGACAGTGCTCAGAGGTAGGTCAGGGGCGAAGACAAGGGATGGTGTTCAGAGGTAACTCAGGGGTGGAGACAAGGGATGGTGCTCAGGGGTAGGTCAGGGGCGGAGACAAGGGACAGTGCTCAGAGGTAGGTCACAGGCGGAGACAAGGGACGGTGCTCACAGATAGGTCAGGGGTGGAGACAAAGGGTGACTCAGGTGAGATTGCAATACCTGCACCCATTTTTTGAGAAAAAAAGTCCCTGATTGCACGGATTCATTACTGGGCGTGAAGAAATAAATCCTAGGCGGGGTTTTTATAGGCAATGTCCGGGTGCAGAGAGGAGGAACTGATAGAAATTGATTGAAGTTTCTAAATGTCCTCAGTGAGAGATTTCCATATCTGATTGGTTCAGGAAGTGCAGCAGGCAGTTGGAGGAAGGTCACGTTTCCTGATTCAACAGTCAGATATCTACCAGTCTATGTAAACTGTACAGAGAACCCGCGATGATATCGACTCAGCAACATTCTACTGCACTCTATACAACATACAGAAATACTAAGAATAAATCTAACACTAAATATAAATAAAAATAAATATAACACGTAATATAATAAATAAATAAAAATAAATAAAATATACATCTATATATACACATCGAAATAAATATATATATATATAAATAAACATCAAAATAAATATATATATAAAAAATATACATCTAAATTTATTTTATTTATTTTATCAAGTTTATATAGCGCCAAAGGGTTTGCTCAGCGCTGTACAATAGAGGGGGGGACAATACATGAAACAGTACAGTAACAACAAACAGCACACAAGGGGTAAGAGGGCCCTACTCTTTCGAGCTTACAATCTAGGAGGGAGGGGGTAGAGGTACAGGAGAAAATGGCTGTGGGGGATGGAGTGGTAGGAGGAGGGAAGGGCAGCGGCTGTTAGGTGAGGGTGGGGTAGGCTTCCCTGAAGAGATGGGTTTTTCAGGGAGCGCCTGAAGGTGAGGAGGGAAGGTGACAGTCTGATGGATTGGGGTAGTGAGTTCCAGAGGATGGGGGAGGACCTGGAGAAGTCTTGCAGTCGTGCGTGGGAGGAGGAGACCAGGGAGCAAGATAGAAGGAGGTCCTGTGAAGAGCGAAGGGTGCGGGTAGGGTGGTACCGGGGAATCAGGTTGGTGAGGTAGTCAGGGGCAGTGTTGTGAATGGCCTTATAGGTCAGAGTGAGCAGTTTGAATTTAATGCGTTGGGCAATGGGGAGCCAGTGGAGGGATTGGCAGAGGGGGGTGGGAGAGGTGGAGCGGTTGGTGAGGTGGATGAGTCTGGCCGCTGAGTTCAGGATGGTCTGAAGCGGGGATAGCCTGCACTGGGGTAGGCCGTTGAGGAGGGAGTTGCAGTAGTCGAGGCGTGAGATAATCAGGGAGTGTACGAGTAGTTTAGTGGTGTCTGGGGTAAGGAAGGAGCGTATCTTGGCGATGTTCCGGAGGTGGAGTCTGCATGTGTTTGTAAGTGATTTGACATGAGGTTGAAAGGAGAGGTTTGAGTCCAGAATGACGCCAAGGACTTTGGCTTGCGGGGCGGGA